AAACGCAGCTGTCAATAACCACAACAGCTTCAGAGTAAGGTCTTAATAGATGCCATGGGGTTCCCTGCTGACTGGGTGCTCCATCACTTGAGCCTACCAGGTAGCCATGGGCACACAGTGCTGATCTGCTCAGTGCACAGCATGTTCCTAACAAGAGCAAAAGCTTTCCCTGATGACAGAGGAAATTCCTGGGGATTTGTTCCAAGCACGGTCAGTCGGTGCTTACAAACTGCGGTCCCGGACTAAAAAGAATCCCTTGGCATGCACATCAGTTTTAAAGTTGAGGCAGAGAAAGCCAAGAGCCTTTTCCAAACCATTCCCCTCTTGCGTTGCTTCATCCTATGCACCAGAACCCACTGCACTTGTTCCTTGGGATCCTTTGAAGCACTCCTAGGTCACGAGGAGGGATGAAATTGTCTTCTCCGGATGCCCTAAGCTTTGCATGCTACCTCCTGCTCGTGGTACAACTGGAGGAGCCCTCTCCTCTTTTGATCACTCACTGGACAGAGGGAAGCACTTTGCTGCTGCCTCCTTCCAAGCCCCAGTCTGGTTGCTTTGGAACAGCTCTGCTTTCTCGTTATTCCCCTCTTAAGGCACAACTACACCATAAATTACTGTAATGTAAAGCCAGAGCAGTGGGGCAGATTTACAGCGTTTCAGCTGCTTTGTGTTAACTGCCGGTGTGAACGTTCTTTGCCTGCACCACGTGCATTGGACTCTCTCACATCTGTCACGGGATGAGAGTCCTCAGGCAAGCAGTTACCCTGCAGTGCCAGGCACACTGTAAATTCAAGCCCTACGTGACTGCAGGATAACTTGCTCTGGTAGCCATGCCCAAGGAGAAACATCTTTGCTCCTTTTTCAATGACTTCTCCTTTCCTCTGTACGCTGAGAAAGTGAATTGTCTGAAACCAGCTACTTCTGAAGTCAGCAGGCCAAGGGAGATGCGCCCCTCCTCTCCCAGTCGGTATGAGGGGCCCTTTCACGCAAAGAATAACAGAAATATGAATTTTTATGTATGTGGGGCCACATCTGGCCATAACATCACTGCAGCAACATGTGCTGTGCATTCCCCAGCACCGGCGGAGTTCAACATTCCTGAGAGCAGCAGTATGATTTCAAGGCCCTGGAATTTGGGAAGTAGAAATGCTGTCTCTTGCTGCGGGAGACGGGGGTGTGGGACTGTTTCACACTGCTGCCAAGCTCTTCTCGTTTTGCTGCAGAAACTAATTCTGAAGGGCAGCAAAGTGCCAGAGGCTGGTCATTATGAAAGACTTCAGAGGAAGTTGAACAGCAAGCCCTTCTCTTGTTTTGGCTATGTCAAATGGAAAAGAATAAGCGAAAAAGACACCAAACCACAGTACCACATGACCATCTGTTTCTGTTTATTTAAATAAAGTTAAAGGAAAGCCAGCTACAAAGGTACAACATACATTTGCACCTGACTTTTCTTCCCACAGGAGACACTAAATGTCCTGTACATCTCCTGGTCTGTGGTTCCCAAAGTCTCTCTTACAGACCACTCAAGGAGATACTGTCATCTTGTCACGCAGAGGTTTGCAGACCTACGAAGTGGTCCAGCTGCCAGCACCCAGAGTTCTTGTAAGGGACAGCAGTTCCTTTCATCACTCGCTGGCATTTTAAGATATTACTGAATCTCCCATCACCCAGACTTACTGGAACAGACAGCTTTAGAGCAGCCAGGACAGTGAGGGGACCACCTGTGGAACTGCAGCGCTTGCTAACCCTCCATTCTCCTTCACAGCACAGCTCCTTCACAGCACAGCTTCTGCAAGGTCCCCACTTGAAGAAAATGGTGAGCGACTTGGAGCGCCAAGAGGAGGGATGCTGAGATGCCCCCTAGATAAAAGCAAGGGACTGACCTCTCTGCTGAGCCCTGGACCGACAGTCAGCACGCAGAGTACTTTGTCACCACACAAGCAAGTAACACATATTCTATCACTGGCAAAATTATTTTTAGACCTAAACGATACCTGAAGCCCCAAACCACACACGAATATTTTCACTCACTACCGCCTAAAAAGCAGTCCCTACCTTGGAAAGACTCAGTTTTATGAGTATTGGTTAAGTCACAGTTCTGGTGGAGAAATCGATGACCCCTTAATCAGATTCTAATTCAGATGAAGTGGTCTCTTCCTTACCTTTTTAATTACTCTGTCAAATCCAGAACACACACACTCGCCCCTCGGCACACTAAACACACACCGCTACGTTAGGCACGACTGGACAAATACTAAGACTGCCTTTGTTCAGTGTTCAGTCATCAGCGTAGCATGGATTGTTAAGATGCAGAGTAGCTTGCAAAGTGTCACATTGCTGTTAAAGAAATCAGCAATAAACCATTCATCAGAACACCACGTCAGCTCTGGTGCCTTTATCTCAAAAGGGAAATAGCAGCATTTAAGGGGTCCAAGAATCAGACAAAACCAACAATTACAGCATGGAAAAACTTTCAAGTGATGAGAGACTTAAAGGATTTTGATTGTTTACCTAAAGGAAACACAAATAAATGAAGTCACGACAGAAGCTCGCAAACCAACAAGCAGCCTGGAAATATGAAACTTCCACTCACCTCATTTCTTAATGCAAGCACAAGGGGCATTCAATGAAACCCACAGGAGAAAAATTATGGATGCACTAAAAAGGTAACACTTTCATCCAACGCTCTGCCCAACTGGGGAATTCCTTACCATAATACAAGAGTGAAACTCAACACCTGACAGGGGTTGCAGTGAGGTATACATAAGAATATTCAGAATTTCAGTGTTTAAAAAAAAAAATAAAAAAACAAAACACCAACCCAAAACACACCACCTTAAAGTTTACCCAAACCTCTAAGAGTTCAGGGGTACAGAAACCTTCTTCTGGGGGCACGTTATCCTGGAACTGCTTACGTCAAGAGCCTTGAACTCCTTTCAAGCCTTACAGGCAGCAGTGTCCCAAGTGTAAGCATTTCCATTTTAACTCTACAGCTCCAGCTGCCAATGAGAGGGTCAACTGATGGGACACCACAGGAGTGAAAAGACCCAGTCAGAGGCAAAGCAGGTGCTGTGAACGAACAGAAATCCCTGGTTTTACTGCTTTGCTACTGAATCCCAGCTTTGTAGGAATCACTTGGGGGAAGCTCCCCAGACCTTGCTCCTCTGTAGTCCCAGAAGTGCACAATGACAGATGCTTTGCCTGGTGTACAGCAATGGATCTTGTTTTTCTTCCCCTCACTAAGCACGCAAGGGCCAGCCCCATAGAGTCAGAGGACAAGTATCTTCCTAGAGCCCTCGAGGATCCTCAGCCGACATGGAGGACGTAAGGTCAAACCGCTCCTACTAGCGGCATCAGAGTGACACAATCTGACACTCATTTCCAAGACTATGAGAGCTAGCAGAACAGGAAACAAGCATTTTCCCGGCTGGCTGGAGTGGTGATTTGGCACAGAGCCCACTGACTACGTATGCACTGACTCAACAGGAAAATATTAAGGGAAGAAAAAAAAAAACCTTGATTAGAACATTTTATTTAAAGAGGCTGCCTAGAACGTTCTCTTTCTTCCCCTTCTTATCTGCCACATGATTAGCTTCCCTCTGTTGACGAGGTTTACCAGGAATGAATTTCTTGATACATGACACAAGCCAGGCAATGTTTTAGGGTTTGCTCTGCAACCCTGCTACATTCTCCCTCTGTTATGTGAGGCTCAGTCTTCAAACCAGAGCCTTTATTTGCAACAACCACGCAAGCAAGAGTGCAAGAAACTGCTCCAATACCACTGACTGATGCCTGCAAGCTACTAACGATCCTGCATAGATACTTCAGCCTCTGATTCTCCACTCCATAAAGGATGAGCATTGGCACATTTTCAAACATCGCCACAAGTGTCCAGTTTTCCCACCAAGCTTTATCTAGAATGCGTAATATTAAGGTGATGTGTTCCTTAAATGACCTTACTTGTTTTCACACATCTCCTAGTCCAAAAGGTCAGCTGTGGTTTAGTATTTCAACCAAATTGAAGAGGCCGGCAGGAGGAATAGGAAGCTTGCCTTCTCCCAGGGCTGCGATACACTCCAGGCTCTCCCCATCACAGCGCGCAGCCGTTCCCAGCCCATCCTCAGCTCATCATCCTGCCTCCCCACTTAACATTTTGTTCAGAACAAAACCATGCTTCTTAAGAGCCAACCTACTCATGTCTTCCTACTTTATTCCATTTATTCAAAGTATAAATTAAACAAGAGCAAATGAAATTTAAGGTTTTCCTCTATCTCAAACCTCAATGCTTTTACATATCCCACTTTCCCCGATCCTGTACCTTTTAAACTCCCCTTTTCTGCGCCCCAGTACCTGTCACTTTTGCCCCTTCCTTTTTTAAGCTTCTCCACTCTCACATCAACCCTATAGAATATTCATCTAATAAAGACTACAAAAAGACCAGTTTATTCCACATATCTTACTAAACCCTATTTCTCCATTCTTATTGTAGCTCCTATTTATCTCTTCTGTACCTTTTTTTTGTAATCAGTCCTTTGTCTCATTCCTTTTATTAGCATTCATTTTTGTGATTCATTTTACTGTCCCACTTCTTAGGAGAATTACACAATTGCAGCATCCTGTACAAAACATTTGAAATCGAAAATCCCTAACAAAGGACTTCAGTCACTTTTACGGCGTTTAAAATGGAAGTCAGGCTGTGCCCCAAAGCAGCCTAACCCAACAGGAAAGCACATTCCTCATCACTGAGTATTTCCTATAATTTTCCAAGTTGCTTTTAGTTTCTTTTACAGAATCAACAATGAACCAATGCCTAATAAACTTGAGTGCTACCTATAAGTCACTGCAAGGTTTGAGCTGCGTAAAGACATTATTCACTCATCAAGCTTTATATGCTGGTCACAGACAAGACAGCTATGTCAATTCTTGAGCAGCAAAGCTGAGAATCCGACAAGAGGAAAAGAGGGAGGTTGGGAACACTCTGCTCCAATGCCAGCTCTTACCTGTGAAAGCCCAGGGGACGATGCATGTCCCGGTGGCGTTGCAGCAAGATTTGGGTGTCCCTTATTTATTTCATGTGCAGTGTAAGGGGATGGGGCAGGAGGACCCGGTTGTCTTGCTACTTGTGTTACCTGTGTGGAGATAAACTGTTAGTAAAACACAGTATTAGTAATCCAATCTGTACGGATACTGTAATCTTCTGTTTAAGAAAGCAGCTAGCAGCATCTTTACATATATATATATTTAAATAATGTAGACATTTACCTAAGTGAAATGCTGTGCAAGTCATTTATTCATATGATTCAGGAAAACGGGGAAGGATCAAAAGAATAAGAGCACCAGCTAGAGTCACTGGTGGAAACATGTAGGAACTAAATGAGCTTTACCACTGAGGTCTTGCTTTGCAATATCCCTTTGCCTTCAGGCCTGGGATCTTCTGATCCTTCCATTATAGGCCATATCAAAAAATATTGGGATTTTGCAAAGGGGTACACATTACCAGTGACCCAAAAAAAAAGTAAGGAGAAAATTTGCATACTTCTCTCCAAAAAGGGAAAAAAAGGACTGCACAGAGGCCCTGTTATCCGAAGGGCTTGCCACCAGCAGAGAATGAAATACCAAAGCAATTCTTGCATACACTTATCTCCTTTCTCAGCTTCTATAAAAAAATACTAATCAGAACACATTAAGCAAAATGTTGTAAAATATATTCACAGCACATCTACTTGCTCTGCTGTACTATCTCCGTGACGGAAGTGGTTTAAATAGACTTTAAATACACTTGCTATAGCAAAAAAAAGAGAATCAAAGGGGGGGGGGAAAATAAATCACATAACCATGGGGTGACACCCTCCAGCAATTCAACACAACTGAATTTTTGCAGGTTTGGTTAAAGCTCATAGTACAAAACTCACGTGCTTGCTTCTCACTGACCTTTTCTCACATTTTGCTGGCTGAAAAGCACCACTTAGCTATAGGTACTTAAAAACACAAAACCAGGCACTGCTTAGAAGTGGATGTCACTACTGTGTAGGTAGATATGTGTGTGTATGTATTTCCCCAGCATCAGAGGAGGCAGCAGAAGGAAATTCCTGGCTCGTGATCTTTAACGGAGTATTAGCACCAAGCCCCAAGAGAGCAGAAGTCACAGAGTTCACGACTCAATGCTTTTTTCCAAGTCATTTTCTTGCACTCCAAGTATCAATGCCTGTCATTACATTACCTAAACCACTAAAACAGCTGCACCAGCAATGAGAATGGTAACGTGTGACTTCTGGATGCTTGGAAATGGTCCAGAACCATTCACCGCGGGAAGATTTACAGCACCCTCGTGCTCATCAGAGAAAATGGTGGGTCAAGGCAGAGAACCTCATCCTCTGTCCCCAGCCAGATCCTTCCCTTCCCCAGAGGAGAATAATCTTTTTTTTTTTTTTTTTTTTGGCTGATCTAGATTGGCAGCTGTGCGCGCACAGCCTCAGTCGGCTGAATCAAAACCAGCATTACAGAGAGCATCATAAAACTTCCCACGTCCCATCCCCAAGAAAATCAAAGTCTCTAACACGACTCTTAACACAACCTTGAAAGACTTGTCATGTCAATCAGGCAGTAGTCAGTGTTTAGAAGTGACTACATATCGTGATGGATATAAAAAAAATGCAGTTAAGGGAGGGAGGAGGAGCAAAGGCAACACAAAATACAAAGCAATCATTCATATCAACAGCCCCATCGGTAGGTTGAGTGCATACTCATTACCAAGATGTCTCCTTGAATGTCGCTTCTTGAGGAGAAAAAGAGGTTATTTTGCAATAGCTGTGGTACTTCAAACACTGCCAGCTTTTATCTCCCTACACTTACAAGCGCACACGTTATTCCAACTAAGGCCAGAGCCATCCAAAATCATCTGATCCTCAACAGCACCCAAGCCCACACAGACGTTTGACAAGGGGGACAGGGGCACTAATAATATCCCAAGTTAGTGTAAGCATTCAACAGTCCCCCCTTCAGAAATTAAAACATGCAAATAACCTAGGTTGGAGGTTAATTAATTAAGACTGCAAGGAATGCTGTTCTGAACTAGGTATGAAACCTGGAAGCCAAACTGAAAGGAGAGCTGTGTAGCTGCGTGTCTGTGGGACACCCTTGTGCAACGCAGCAGACAAGCAGCAGATACATAACGGACACAGGTCCGGACCTACAAAAATTTGCTTGAAAGCCTAATTAAGGACACAGAACGATCATAAAATCATACCATCTTGATACTTTGGCAACAACGCACTTGTCAGATACCATCCAGGAGCCTACCACTGACCCAATCGGATGTCCTGCCTAGCCAAGCCTAGCTTAGCAGACCCACAAATTCCAGTAAAAGCAAAAGCACAGAGCGAGTGCACTTCATGCCAGCTGCAGCAGCATAGGTGTTTCTACATCTTCCTTGGCCCCTACAACAAATTATTTACAAATAAACTGAAATGTAAGATAACAATTTGAATGTTAACAGCAAGATACAGATTTCATAGAATCATAGAATAGTTTAGGTTGGAAAAGCCCTTTAAGATCCTCAAGCCCAACCGTTTCCCTACCCTGCCATCCCACCACTAAACCCTGGCCCTCAGCACCTC